ACTGCCATCAGCAGCTGCCCTCAGCCCGGCCTCAGCGCTGCCTTGGGACCCGCCTTGCCTCACTGCACCTGCAGCTTCCACCGAGGCTCAGTGCACTCCTGTCCCTGTCCTCTGGGGTGACGGTGACTGTGTTGGGAACAATCGCACCATCTGGGAGCTCTTCTGACTAAAGCGGGGGTGGCCAACACCCCTCCATATAACAAAGGAAGCCAGGCCTGATGCTGAGCTCAGACCCTGGGCAGGTGGTGCCGCTGACTGGACCCCAGAGCCCACCACGGCCCTCCTCTGTGGCCCAGATCCCGGGCGGGATCCCATATGTTGAGCAGTCTGAGCCAGTCTCTGTGCCGGGCACTTGGTGAGGTATTCACCTGGTCCCCACCTCTGGGCGTCTCCAGTGTGGCGGACGAAGGTGCCTTCACACAGGCTAGGAGGCCACCGTCAGGGCAGTCTGACCCCAAGTCCGTGCTGCCCCCATCCCAGCCCTGTCTCCTGGACTGTCCTCATTCCGTGACGCCCCCCTCTGTGCCTGTTCTCTTTACTCGAGGGAGCCCCTTCCCCTGCCCCCAGGCTCCAGGGCTGACTCACCCCCAGCACGCGGGCCACCTCCTGGCTCTCGTTCTCCATCAGGCGCAGCCGGCCCCGCAGGGCCTGCTGCAGGCCGGGGTCTGGCTGTCCACTCTTCCTGCGCACCGCCAGCAGCTGCAGAGCCAGGTCTGGAAGGTGCAGATGGAAGTCAGCAGGTCCTGCTGGCCCAGACCTGGGTCTGTGGGGTGCTCCCCCCACCCCTGCTGAGCCTCCAAGTCACAAAACTGGTGCTGGAGGCTGGGCCAGCACTGTGGCGCCCAAACCCAGAGACCAGCTTGACCTCCAGTCACAGACACCCAGCTCAGCTGCAAAGACCTGCCGGTTCATCCTCAGGCCCGGCCCCTGCGGGGATGGAAAGGTGGACTTTCGTTTTACCCTGCAGCAGGTCAGCAAGGAGCTGACATTCAGCTAGCGGCCTGGGTCACCATGACCTCCAGCCCTACCTCTCCCCCGGCCCCCATCTCCAGATGTGGCACCCAGCCTCCTGGGACACCCCCCAGGCATCACAGAGGCCTCAATTCTACCCTAGCTTCCTTATCTCCTGGGGGACCCTGTGCCCACTCCATTCCCCCGTCACACATGGCATGGGCCCACCAGCCTGTCCTGCTGGCCCTGTCCTCAGCCCCTGCCCACGGCTCAGGGCAGCAGAGCCATGGGACAACTGTCTGGCCAGGCCCTGCCCTAGTCGGCCCTCTGGCCCATGCAGAGCCAGAGGCCCCAAGAGAGCACCCCCGACCTGGCCTGGCTCTGGACCCTCTAGGGTAACACTGAACTTCTGCAGATGGACATGGCCTGTCTACACTGTTCCAGGAAATGGCCAGCAGCGTGGGGGCCGCAGAACTCTGGAGAGCTGGCTGAGCACACGAGGGGCCCGGCTTTCCATCAACCCTGTCCATGTCGGGGAGGTCTTTGGGTGAGGTTGATCCGACTGGGTTTTGATGTGCCTGTGAACTTGCCTCCGTGGAGCCCGCCCCTCTGCACAGCTCACAGGCACCAACAAGAAAGCAAATCTCCACGTGTGGCCAGGGCTTCCTGTGGGAGGGGCAGCGGTAGTCTCCCACCCCAGATAGAATGAAACGCAGGTCCCCTCCCGGGCCCTGCCGGTTCTCTGCTGCCCAAGACTCCAGGCACCCAGGGCCTCCCCACCTCTTCACCCCCCAGGGCCTCCCAAACCAGGCCCTGCCCTGGCGGCTGTTGCCTGATAGCTCCCAGCTCTGACATCTCCCCAGGCCCTAAAGCCAGGTAGGAGACAGGGCACGGGAAAGGGGCTCCACCAAAAAGGAAAATTTGAGCCCAGGAAGGAGGAGCGCCGTCCTGCGCAGGCTCCAGGGGCCACCTGAAGTCAGCTGGTTGCTGGTCACCAGCATCGCGGCTTGCTCCCCCTGTGCAGGATACCGGGGAGGAGGTCACATGTGGGCAATAAGAGTCCTGGGAGGTTCAGCTGCCCATCAAGGTATCAGTGGACCCCCAGGCCCCCCAGGGGAGAAGAGGGGAGACTAAGAGCCCAGTGAAAGCCCTTGTGCAGAGGGTCCAGCCCTCCGAAGCTCCACCTTCTGCTCCCCGTGTTCGCTCCTCCCAGAGCCACTCCCCTCTCAATACACCTCTCCTTGTCCCCAACCTCTCCAGTCTTGCTCAGTTCCTTGCTCCGCAGGCTGAGAACCTGGACCAGGACCCTGGACCCTGCTCTAGCTGCACCCAGCTCACAGGGACCCTGAAGCAGCAGCCTTTTATTTCTAAGGCTCCTGTTGCCACCAGAATCCAGGCTCCTGGGACAACCCCCTCACCTGTTCTGACCCTGAAACTCTAAGACAATCAGCCCCACCTAACTCCTGGGGTCAAGGTCACCTAGAGATCTCCAGCAGATGCCCTCTGCCCCCTACTCCAGCCCTCTACAGAGTGGGGCTGCCCTCAGATGATCAGGAAGGAGGGAGAGAGGGAAAGGAGGAGGAGATTGAAAGGAGGAGGGGGAGAGAGAGGAGGGAGGGAGAGGAGGAGGGAGGAAGAGGAGGAGGGAGGG